AGCAGGAATATGATCTATATGAAACATGATCCTGAGCTCCAGCAGGACTTACTGGACTGTGAAAAATGTAGTGTAGTACAGCAATATCTGAACCAGGCTTTCACCATCTGTGGCTGCAGGCAATATACTACATGCAATTTCACATGCTAACTGTATGTGTAATTTTCATCTGTATCTAGTACTGTATCACTGTGAAGAAACCACTGATAAATGCATAGTAGCTAGTATAGCAAAGAACATGCCGTCACAGTTTTGCTCTTTCTCGTCACCTGAAACAGACTTAAGATCAACCTTTTTTATCTTCAGACACAGCATTCTAATACTGTATTCAATGAAAATGAGACAGCATACCATGTAGTTTACCTGTCAGTCATCCATTTTAACCTGTTCCATAACTAGGTGTCTTGTGTTAACTGAATCAAATTTCTGCACTTTGACATTCAATTGCAACAGCTTTCACAAGGCAGCCCTCTCAATAGCAGTGCAGTCATTTTCTCACCTATGCTCCAGGTCCTTCCCTACCTTTTAAACAGAGTTTCTCAGTGCTCCATTGCTGCATTCAGTAAGAAGTGGGGGCAAAAATACTGAAAGAATGGTTGCTTTTATACAGTTATGAGCAATAAACTAGAGTAAGTAAAACAATAAGAAGAAAGAAACAACCCCTCCATTCATGATTTTGGTTTCTTATTCAGTGAGGGGATTTTTATTATATTTTACACACATACTGTTCTGCATATGCACTGGGGAAACAGAATTCAGTCTATGTCTCATTCATACTTAAGTCACAGTATTTCTTTGAGCATTTCATAGTTATGAATGAATACACAAGATGCATGATCTGACACTATGGGTGGTGTTGCTCTGTTCACTCAATTCTATCAGCTGTGATATGACTCTAAGAGATGTAATTACTGAATTTTGTTTTTTCCTAACTTCATACAATGTGTTCTTTTGCTTAGTTTGTTGAAAAGCAAGTAAAATTAAGTATACCTACTGAAACATTTCAGACAGTGATTTTTAAAAATTTCATTTTACTCTTGTTCTCTCATGAGGCACCAAACATATAAAACATCTGCACTAAGATGAAGCATTTCAAACTTCAGAGTTCTTTGCCTGGGAGAAGTATGAGAATACAAATCAAATATAATTCATCTGAGTTATCCTCCTTAATTCGTTCCTGAAAGGCACTCAGGTACTATAGTTGTAAGTAGTTGCTCTACTGTATTAACGGGGTAGTTCTAAAGAGAGCAAACTGTTGGGTTTTCACTCTTTCATATTGCTACACATAGGGACAACATTCTCCCAGTTTCAGCTAAGCATAGCTGGAAATGAATGGAAAAGGCATCTGCTATTGTGGCATGCTTTATTTCATTTCATTACACTACCTACTCCAGACATTGACATAGAAAATATGTAATTACATACATGCGTGTAGTGCACCAGCATGTCTGTGTGATAAGCATTATAACACGAGGTGTCCGCACCCTGTCATTATTATATGTATGGTATTTTAGTTCCTTTCCTTAAAGACAAACTTTCAAACTTACAAAAAACCACAGTGTACAGCTGTTAGCCTTGCTCCTCCAAGATTTTGTGTCATGTCAGCAGTGGCAGGAAAGAAAGGTCTAGTCTCTAAGTATTAATTTCTGGGACAATGCTATTCTCTGAGAATTGGACACTGATGCTTCTTCCTGATCAACTCTTTTTCAGTATGGCACATATGAAAAACTAATTATACATACAATAATATCAGATTTCACATTTCTGCTTTATGCATGCCAGTGCAACCACTTCCAGTGATAAAGTCTGCATTATAAACTAATTACCTTAGAAATAAAACCTTAAATTTAAAAAGTTCAAGTTAAAATAAAGTTTAAAGTCTAACTCCAGTTAATTGCCAAAAATGTATAATAATAGAAGTTACCTTCCAGCCACCTAAAAACACAGTACTTGTCCCAGCTTTTACAAATAAGAAAAGTGTATAATGGATAGCTGAAGCAACTTTTCAAAACTCATATAGCCAATCTATAAAGAACACAATGTTAAAGTTTGTATCTATAAAATAAAAAAAAGATAGTTCATTTCCGGAAAGCCAGGGAATATAAAGGTAATGAAACTTCCATCACCGTTAGATACACAGACCACTGTTAATCTGAGAGATTAACAAAACATTTCTTACTGCATGCCAAGTAGATCCTGCAGTGAGCTCAGATTTTTCTAGCAGAACAACATCCTTCAAGCCAGCCTTAGCCAAGTGATAGGCTAGACTCACACCAACACAACCACCTCCGATGATTACTGTGTCTGCTCTGTCTTTCCACAAGGAAGGAAATAGGGTTTCTTTCCTAGAGAAGAAAAAATACAGACAGTTACAAAAAGACAACTGCAGCATTATCCATCTCTTTAGGTTACTGCTCCAATCATAATGTAACTTGTTGCATGCTTGGGAGCCTAGACACACTTGACTTAAAACCTAACCTGCTCACTCTTACTTTCTTTTAAAGTAAATGCTCTTAAAGAGTCATATACATAAACAGTAATAATACAAAAACCAAAGCAAGTTTGCTTCCTCTCACAACTTTAAATATTTATTTGTCTAATATACCCTTGTATGTAAATCCTATTTCTCAGTAAGAAAGTGTACCTGCAAAATTACAGTGTCAAAACCTAACTTTTCAAAAGGGCTACAGTATACAAAACACAAAGAAAGTATTTTAAAAATGACTACTTAGTAAGGCTCCTTAAAAATTTCTGAAGTCAATGCCAGCAGACTACATCAGTGCATGTGTTCATGAACGAAGAAGCTTAATATTTATTTTCATGTTCTATTTTGCTGAAGTCAAAATACTATAGAAATAGGATTTTGTCAATGGCTCACACCTGCTACTACACTACACTGCATTTTCACAATCACTTTTAGCCAGCATAAACCAGAACTGCAGTCATAGGCAGTCTCCTTCTCCTCCACCTCATCCAATGTTCCTCTCTACTGCCTCATCCACAGACAGCCAAGCAGCAAGCCAAATCAGGAAGTTTATCCCAATTAAAAAGAAGACTTCTTTTTTGGATTTGAGGCAAAGTAGGGCCTCTTAGTACAGACTACTGTGAAACGACACTATCTCGCCCTTCAGGACAGTTAATCAATACTCAATTTTATCTCCCTTCTCATTGTACGTTTGCTTTTGCAACTTCTCTGGCAAAAGGCTTTCTAATGTGTAACTAGTTTTCCACCCATCCTCCACTCAGAAAACAAAGCTATTAGTTGTATGTATTACAAATGGAGATCTTATAAAATGGCATTTCAAATGCAGATGTAGGTGGAATATGCATGATGTGCATTCACAAAGTGGCAATCAGTGAAAATAAATGCAAGCACTAGACACCACAGGTTTTCTGTATTTGGTGCGCCACACAGTTGCATGTGTTCTTTTTTGAGATTACCTATTAATTTTTGTAAGTTAACAGTAAACCGTTTAACAGCCAGATGTGAGACACTTACACCAGCTTCCCTACTGAATTTTGAGGCACATGGTGATCAAGGTCAAGCGTAAAGAGTTTTCTCATACTTTATGCTGTGGCTTTTGAGATTTCCTCAACTGACTTCTAGCTCTTTTCAAACCTTGTCTTTGAAACCCAGGACACTGGTAAGAATCCGGAGGATACCTTCCCTGTGAACTACATGATTAACCCACGTGTTTGCTCATCTGCGCCAAAACAGCTTATTTTTTGCTCGTGGATATGGCCCAGAAGACAAGTGGGACCTCCCTGTACCACCTTAGCCACCCACCCCGGGGTGGCTCTGGTCTGCGAGGCGCGGGGCGAAGTGCACCCACTGCCCGCAGGGAGAGCCCTTCGCGGCCCAGTGACCCCCACCAGCTGCAGGTGGACCACCGCGGGCCGGCGAAGGCGCCCGTTCCCCGTGTCGCCTTCTCCTCGCAGCCCCCTCTAAGCAGCTTCACTCTCGGGGTCTACGCCTTGAGGCGGTGCGGGTGCCA